ATTCGGGATTCACATATGAAGGTGTTCATGCATCTTAAATGAGGATAATTCAGGATTTAATTGGTGAATAACGAATAACGAAAAACGATCCAACTTCACACTGCCGGAAGCACTCCGTCTTTACGTTCAAATTTATCCAATCTTGTGATACAGAACATATAGTTACGGTGGAATTTATGTAAACTTTGTGAGATTGTTCATTGGAGTAAAGTCGAGAATTTCAATTTTTTGGAAACCCTATCGAGGAACCCTATCGAAATTTATCCTTCCGTTGTCGGTCGTGGAGTTGTCCATTGGGGCATAAAGAACACCGTTATCGAATTTCGGATCGTAAACTTTAACTTTAATTCTCGATTGAATTGTAAAATCCGAGACATTTCCCGGTTCCTTTGATCTTTTAAATTTTTAAAATTTTTCCTTAAATCTGGTAGGAAAGTTGATTGATTCATAAAAAAAACAATGTAATACAGGACATAGATAGATTTAAAACAAAAACACACACACAAAAAAAATTACTCTATTAGCGCGGGCGACTTTGTTGCTGGTGGGATCTGACAAGCTCAACCTCTATCCAAATATTATTCATAATATTGGAAATTTAAAACACGAATTAGAATTTAATATTGATCCATTTCAACCAATAATTATGTTATTATCTTCCCGAGAAAATATGTGGTGATCATAATATCCAATATTTAAAACACAATGAACATTTTTAAATAACTACGCGACTCGCGCATTCTACAATCTGATCTATATTTCGTTTCGTTTTTTTTATACTTTCGATGGGCTACACCAAGTGTAGTTAAGACAAGTAAAATGAAATTTTGAACTATAAAAACGAAACGAAATAGGATCTGTGTTTTAACCAGATTGCGCATTCTATGGACATGATGATTTAGACCGCCATTTCTAAATCATAAGCCAGGCGGCAATACGGAGTTAATTACAGGGGAATTAGGGAAGATTAGATACACAGGCTTGACAGTTCTCGCTATGATAGTTAAAACAATCGATTATGAAAACAATTTATGTTTGAAATTTCAGTCAAATTACTTCACTCTGAACTGAGATATTACTCATTGAAATTTACTGTAGTTAGTAGGATAACAAACAAAGTCTCGATTATCCATTTTTATGTTAAATTATCCATCATAAAACGTATTCAAATCCAGTAAATATCGTATGTTAACAATGACATCGAGAGTTGATTAGGCTCTGGATAAGTTAATTAATGTCCAATTAATAATTTATATAACATTTCAGGCACAAAGAAAGACTTGTAATAGGCAGATTTAGCTCTTGCATAATGCACGTTTAACAGAACGGCTGATACACAATCCAAAAAACTTAAATCGTATAGTATGGTTATATCTATTGTAAAGTAATTATTTGCTGAATATCATTTTAAAAAAAACACATATTTCATAATAAAAGAAAAGAAAAATTATTAATATTGTTATTCTCTTTTCTGGGTCGAAATAATAAAATCACAATAAACTATTTATATGATTATTCAAAATAAATATACAGTGATAGATGTAGTACTGAAATGTTTCTGTTGTCATTGTCCATGATTCAAATATTCATGGGTTCTAAAACCAGTGCCATTATTAATTCTATACTGACAAAGAAAGTGATCGGGTAGGCGACCTAATTCTAACATGTTCGCCCGTTAATATCCCAAACACTTCGAGTTTATTTTGATCAGATCAGCTCGAAGCATGAACACTATGTTTTTAAAGATCGAAGATATAAAAGCAGAATATTCAGAGAGAGAGAGAGAGAGATGGGGTTTAACGTCCACTCGACACAAACTAGGTCATTTCGGGACTAACATATGGTTTAATTTTATTTACATAATTCGGTTGCGCGTAGGGGTCTTTAGCAGTGGGAGGAAACCGGAGGACCCGGAGAAAACCCACGAGGTTGGACAGGCGACCCTACTCCTTGCCACGTACAACCGGGGATTCGAAACCACGCCAGTCGACTCAATGACAGACTTTGTGATACAGCGCGCGCACGCTAATCATTCAGCCATCCAACACCCCCCCCCCCCGAATATTCAGAAAAATGTGTAACGTATGTATCGGTGGTATCGTGGCTACCGAATTTCTATTACCAATAAGTGTTTATGATCTCGATTTAGGTTATACCTCTTCACCTCTTCGATCCCCGAGGCAGATTAACAACTGTGAAACTTCTGGAGACTAGGGTTATAGATGTATTCCAATAAAAGTATGAACATTTTGGTATATGTCATAATATGGAAAGTATAGACTCATCCAATCTTGATAGAAAAATACCGGATTCATCGAAAAAACAGTCATGGGGCGGGTACATGAGAAAAATAAAGAGTTTCACAAACTGGCAGGAAGTACGCTTGTTATCTGCTATAATGGCTTAGTGCGAGCAAAGTGCGCTTTGTATGAATGGCTTAGTGCATGCAGGGGCGCTTTGTATATGAATAGCTAGCGACTGTGAAAACATATGCTTAAAACGTACAACAGATTCTACGATTAAACAATGGGTGCAATTGGACTGAGGAAAATCCAAGAATTTAATTCGGCTTTGACATCTATGGTAAATGGACAGCGAGTACAGACAAATACCAACTGAAATGGGTCTTTCCTAAACTTGGTTGGTTATTTCCTAGCGATTTAATTTAAATTAATCCACAGAGAGAAACAATAAGCTTATCAAGGTTCGTTAGACAACGCCTCGCTCACTTTGTAACACCATGTAAGTTATGCATGACATTTACTGCGGTTGTTACATTGTGGACTTTTATTAGCTGACATAGGCTGCATTGCAAACTAGCAGATAAAACAAAAATGTTGTCCCGTGGAAAAAGAGCTCATTTGAAGAAGTTCAATTCACCTTTGTAGTAGAAAATGGGAATTTTGTAGTCTGGGGCCAACCATGTTGAGGCTCCCTCGTGTTGTAAAAACAGCCCACCACCATTTTGTCGAATTTTTATTTTGAATGGTTTTATTATGCTGGTTTGTTTTCATGCTATTGAAGTCTTATGGTTGATAGTTAGTGCTAAATGATACGGCCAGGTCAATTTTTCGTCATAGGTCACGATATGTAAACAGGGCCAGCGCTAATCCTTAACCCTGGATTTAGCCCCAATGTTTACCCTAACGCTAACCTACAATCTCGCCAACAATCACGTGCCCTAAACCTTATTTACATCTCAGCGACCGTGACAAAAATTGAGCTGGTCTTAACATATAGATTTAGCCGACTAACGATTTGGTCGACTTTTTATTTTGAATGGTTTTATTTTGCTGGTTTTTTTTTATGGTTGATGTTACATAATCCCCAGGGTAAAATTGTTAATGATTCCCCGTCCATTGTATGCGAACGTTTTAATATAGATCGTTATTGAAGATCTAACCGGTTATCTAATAAATTACAAAACAAGCTTTCAATATTTTATGGAAAGCGAGGGCATTTTAAATATTTACACTACACTTTGTTATCTCTTCCCTGTCTTTCCAGATAATGTTTGAAAAATTAAAATCTATGTCATCTTGATAAATATGCTGACATTTATCAAATATTTGTTATTCCGTTTTAGCATTTTAAACGCACATAAAAACATTTTGAAATCATCGATTTTACTGCATTACCATTATATTCCTCTATGACACTTTCCGTTGACTGCTTTAAAAAAAATATAATATTCTGCATGTCTAATCGATAAAATCGAATAAAATTCAAACACAAGTATTATTACAGACCTCCTGCCTGTATTTATCGGCTGAATCAAAAATGTTTTAAAGAGACATTGGTGCTTTCAAGGTCTTTGTCGGTTGAAATAACAAAAAATTAATATTCGGTTTGTTATGATTTGGGCTACATGGGGGTGTTTAAATTAGATTGCATACAAAATTTGATTTCAGAAAATGACCGATGAAACTCTCGATTTACTCACATTAGGTTAGATTTTCAACAACTAAGTCAATTCTATTTACATGTATTAATATTACATTTATTTACCGGCTGAATGTATCACATGTCTGTGATAAAGAGAGATAACTACCTAAAAGTTTGGGAATTGCTGACTAATCTAGCAACGGCTAGATGTTGTAAAAATCGCAATATTTGCTTCTTGAATGAAAAGGAGATGAATGAAAGGTGATTTAAAGTTCTACTGTTCTGTACATCCGGGCTATATAATGAAGATGGTCATACGCCATACAGTGGGTCTACGGGCTATTCTTATGTCACATGTTCTTTTACGAGCATGCTAACATGTATATTGGACCTCAGGTTATCGTCCCATCCCAAGATACTTTCCTGGTCAACACCTGGATTGAATGCTCATTAATTCCAATTTTTTTAGGAAAAAAAAAATCAAAATTTGTGTGATTGTTCAGGTAATTTTGTTCAGAGATATAGCTCCTGTCAGCAAACCATGTAAATGCTTTAAATCTTTTAGAACTTACTGGAATTGTTTGGCTAGTTATAAGAATCTTATTAAAAAATGAAAAAATGTCTGTCTGGTAATATTAAAACAGTTCCATTTTTTCTCAAGTTAAAATATTTTCAAAAATCTTTACCAGGTATATATATATATATATATATATATATGACTGAAAACCGAACCTATGTTATATATATGTATGTAACTGAAAGTAACTGAAAACCAAACTTGTGTTTTATCATAGCCTTTCCGCAAAAACGAAAAAAACCATTGTATATACCGGTAAGCCTATTTTTCCTATTTTTCGGGTGTGCAAAATGACCCATGGGTCAGATCTAGTTACGGTAATTTTCCACAGCCCACGGTCTTGACCGGCATATATGGTCGTCGTGGAACCCATGCCGGTAACTCTGGATTCCTCAGTAGTCTCGGTCACCCAGAACCTCCTAGTCTTCAACATAGTCTTCTGGATGATAGAGACTTTATTCCTCGGTAGTGCCTTAAAGCTAATAAACATACTCAGGTTATATGTTTGATGTATAATCATTAAACTATTTAATGATATAAAATATTGTTTTATTTACTCTATTCCTATATATAACATTATATTAATAATTAATTAAATGAATAACATTTGACCAGTATTTAATCTTTAATCTTAAGAATACTTCGTTTCTCCAAGTCCTCCATTTCTTTCAGTATAAAAGCTACATTATACCGTAACTCGTGGAACTTTGAAGTTGGAACCTGAAATTAACATCAATCATAATAGTAAAATATGATCAAACAAATTCTTTAATCTTAAACATACATTATGCAATAGCTAAATCTGCCTATTGCAGGTCTTTCTTTAGGTCTGAAATGTTTTCTAAATTATTAATTAGACATTTATTAACCTATCCAGGCCATAATCAACTCTCGATAGCATCAGATTTCTCCGATATTAAATAGATAGATTAGAACAGTTCAGCCATATTTTGATTTAAGCTAAAAATGGAGCAGCGTGACTTAGCTTCGAACAAACAGTACAGTGGTTGAAATCAATAAATCATTGCACAAGTCTTGTCAAACCTTCAAAGGCTAATATCTTCGCTCACAATAGAGTAATTTGAATGAAATTTTCAAATTATTCATTTTACATTATCTATTTTCGAACTATTATATCAAGAATGACTAGCTCTTTAACTAAATCTTAAATAATGTATCTTTAATAATAAAAACAAGCCAACAGTGAGGTTGATATCCCCATAAAAACAAGTCAACAGTGAGGTTAATGTCCCCATAAAAACAAGTCAAGGGTGAGGATGATGTCGCCATAAAAAATGATAAAGTAATCAGATGACACACCTATTTTATAGTCAAGATATTGATGGAAATACGAATTATCCATCTTAGTCAGAGTGAAAATGAAATAAAATGGGGTTTAACGTCCTACTGTTCTGCTCCAACTGGGCTATTGAAGACGTGCATACGCCATACAGTGTGCTATGAGGGAAATTTTGCTCAGCAGCGGCACTATGGCCTTCTCTTATATCACATTCCAACTACCACAGGATCTTTTACATGCACGCTCATGTATACACAGGACCTTGGTTTTTCATGTCATAAAAACGACTAGACAGCTGCCCTTCCTGCACCACTGACAAGGGGAAACCACCTTAGTCAAGGTATTGATTTAACAATATATGCCAAGTTTAACCATTCTCACTCGATTAGAATCAAAGTTCTCAAGCTCCAAAGTCTCGACCAATCAAATTGCTCATCATTGAACTTAGTCAAGGTATTGATGTTATGATATACATATGCCAAATTTTACCATTCTCACTCAATTAGAATTGTTGTCTAAAAGTCTCGACCAATCAAATTGCTTATCACTCAGCTTAACCTAAGCCAAAAATGCTTCTTTATTGAACTTAATAGTATGCTCTGTTTTCTACAAAACGTTATCTGTTGATCTTCATGTTTAAAATCAATATTCATCGACATTTCTTTAATAGAGTTTACTAACCTCAAACGTTTTAATTGATCCATCACTTAACGTCATTTCCATTTGAACTGATGGCTCTAGTACTCTGTTTAGGACACTGAAACAATATATATATATATATATATATATATACTTTTAATGTAACCGCAATGCAAAGAAGGAGAATTTGTCCCAGGCAGTGTAAATTCTTCTCTGAATTCCAACTTATTTTTCTTCCAATTGGAATAACTAGACACAATTTGTTTTTTTAATAATAATACTCATGACAGAGTTATAAAATTGATATATATATAGAGAGAAACAGGGTTAAACGTCCACTCAACACAAACTAGGTCATTTCAGGACTAACCTATGGTTCAATTTTATTTCAATAATTCGCTTGCGCGAAGGGGTCTTTAGCAGTGGGAGGAAATCAGAGGGCCCGGGGAAAACCCACAAGGATTTACAGGTGACCCTACTCCTTGTTACGTACAACCAGGAAAACGAAACCACATCAACTAACTCAATGACAGACCTAATGATACAACACGATGCACGCGCTAGCCATTCGGCCATCAAACCCCCAAGAAATTGATATACATGTACATGTAAATAACACAGAGTTTTTGAGCATTGAGTAATAATGATATTCTGCCTAACATTCAACCAAAGAATTCATTTTTTTCAGAAACCTTTATTGGTTTTTAGTTTGTTATAACATGATATATTTGGGAAAGAAATTCATCATTCTCGACAATCTAGCTTGCTAACCTGAAATCTGTATACCCACGGAGTCAGATTATAATATGTTTAATTTATTGAATAACAGACAAGATAGACAAACTGCAGAATAAAAAATATAACAAGCAGTACATAAATAAAACACAGACAAAATGCTAAAGTGAACAAGCTGTTTAAAATACGAACTGGACACATCTCTCTCACCGATGAGAGCAGAGGTAAGTAAGTGTTATGCATTGTTCAAGAAAGATTAGCATGCCCTGCCCCAAGCACAACAAAACTACTGTTGTATTGTGGTGTGTTTTACCTGGTTGTATTGTGATGTGTTTTACCTGGTTGTATTGCGGTGTGTTTTACCTGGTTGTATTGCAGTGTGTTTTACCTGGTTGTATTGTGATGTGTTTTACCTGGTTGTATTGTGATGTGTTTTACCTGGTTGTATTGTGATGTGTTTTACCTGGATGTGTTTTACCTGGTTGTATTGTGGTGTGTTTTACCTGGTTGTATTGTGATGTGTTTTACCTGGTTGTATTGTGGTGTGTTTTACCTGGTTGTATTGTGATGTGTTTTACCTGGTTGTATTGTAATGTGCTTTACCTGGTTGAAATAGCTACATCTACTCTCCATTTTAAATTTTCTAATCGAGCGAATCTCGGCCGACTATCATTGGAATGTGAATCAATCTTTGGTCTCCTGAAAGAACAAGAATAAAGTTCAAGGTACTCCTCTTTGTCTTCAAAGCACCAACATTCATCTTATTTAAAAAGTCTTGTAGAACCCTGAACTACCAGCAGTAACAACTTCTAAAATCTCCAGCCATTAACTTACAACTTGAAAAACGTGCCTTTTCTTATGCTGGCCTTTTCTATGAAATAAACTACCACAGTCATTGGGCCATTTTAAATCTCAACTTAATACATTCTTGTTTTAAAACCCTGATCTGTAAATAATCAGTGAATATAAAAACCAACAGCGCCTTACAAACTTTTCTTTGGTATTAACGCGCTTTATAAATGACGATGTTATTATTATGTAAGAGTGCCCAGGCTAATTTTTAGGGAAATATAAGATTTGTTGAACACTAATCATGCGATTTCTGAACTAACAGGTTTTATTTCAATAATTCGCTTCCATACAAGATATATTAGAAGTGAAGGGAAACCCGATAATGTGGTAAAACCTATGAGTTAGACAGGTGACACTATTCCTTGTAATGTTCGAACCTCAGATAATCTGGTAAAACCGCAGATCAAAACAATGACTGCCACAGATAACTGGTCTTATGATCAACAGTGGAAGCATAAAACAACTCACCTGCGCACTAATGTCATATCCAAATGTTTAAAATCGGTTTGCAAATGTTTCTTATTAACATTTTTTTTCTATTAAGGACCAAGGTGTTAAAAAAGTAAGAACAAAATAAAGAGAAAAGGGGGATAACTTCTATCAGCTGGTTTCAAATTTGTGAAAATTCAGTGCAAGAAAAATCTTAATGAATTATCACCTGTATGAGGTTACAAAAATAGATGTATTCAGACACCTGGTTAATTACCTTGATCCAAATACAACACTAGTTAAATCATCATGGAAAACTTTTGGTATTCTGTAATACAAATAAAGAAATAATAATACAGGCGGAGAGATTGGACAATAATCACCGCTCAACAGATGGTAGCAGATCCCCACAACAAAAATAACACATTTTACGACTGGCACCAGTATCAGGGATTTTTCAGGAAGTGGGAATATTGTTGTTCAGTATTCATGGATAAATTTGAATAAATAATTTACAGACCCTGTACATGTACTTCTTAATGAAATAAAATGGGGTTTAACGTCCTACTGTTCTGCTCCGACTGGGCTAATGGAGATGGGCACTTCTTAATCCATATGTGATTCCATATGTAATGGTTGTGTATGCCTACATGTCTTGTCATCCACACTGGACACGTAATACCTTTATATTATCTTTGTTACAGACCAGTATAGTTTACTTTCATATACTCTTGTTATCAAATATAACAGGTATATAATTACAGGTACATGTATATATATATATATATTACAGGTATACATATTACTCATTCTCACATTCAAATATTACAGGTATATATATATACAGGTAATATATATCTTACTCATACTCACATTCAAATAAAATACTAAATATTATATAAATATGTACTTACTGCAATTCAACTAAATCATCTTTAAACATCTGAAGAATAGAAAATAATACAAGATTATCATAATCTGACAACATATACCACTCTAGTTCTGACAACATCCTTGTTAGCACCACATGTACCACTCTAGATCTGACAACATATACCACTCTAGATCTGACAACATCCTTGTTAGCACCACATGTACTACTCTAGATCTGACAAACATCCTTGTTAGCACCACATATACCACTCTGGAGACCCTGGCTTTGACAAATCTGAACATAACATCATGTCTAGCCCACATTTTAACCATGACTGTACATAATCCTTGAGTGGCATTTAGCGATTGAACACATTAAAAACACAACACAGTTTATATGGAAATACAATCACTGGTTTATATAAACCAGTGATTGTATTTCCATATAAACCAGTTTATATGGAAATACAATCACTGGTTTATATAAACCAGTGATTGTATTTCCATATAAACTGTGTTGTGTTTTTAATGACTGTACATGTAGTATTCATACCATAATTCCCTAGTCTACAATCTTTGAGCAAATCCCTATGGCTCCGTTTCATATAGGGGATCACGTGGCTAAGTGGGTAAGACGCTGGCTCGCTAGCCTGGAGGTCGGGTGTTCGATCCCTGCATTGGCCGAGAAAGTTCATCCAGATTTTCCGGCGTGGTTCCCCCTTGTCAGTGATACAGGACGGAGGGCCGGACAAGGACAGCTGTCTAGTCCTTCAGATGAAACGAAAAACCGAGGTCCCGTGTATATATTGGAATGCACATAAAAGATCCCCTGGCAATTGGAATTCGATATAAGAGTAGGCGATAGTGCTGCTGCCCGGGCAAAATTTCCCTAATAGCACACTGTATGCGATAGCGTATGCCCCTGTTCATTAGGCCAGCTCAAGCAGAACAGTAGGACGTTAAACCCCATTTCATTTCATTTCTGTTTCATATATTCTGATTAAACGTATTTGTGTAGGTAATTATTTTTATACCTGTGGTTGATATTGTATGAAATTTAAAATATATTTTTAACGATCTTACCTCTTGTTTTAAAGACGAAGTAGAGTGTTTAAGGGCTGATTTTAACAGAGTTGTCAACCCTGTAAAAAATACAACTAATATTTCTTCTGTTAGACTGTTTGTTTCTAACTGTTTTATATCATCATATTCAACCGGATTGCCTTCTAATGAGGCTACAATCACTGAAGTACAAAAATAACAAACAAAAAATACAATTAAAATGAAATAAATGGAAATGGGGTTATAACATCCTACTCTTCTGCTCCAGCTGGCCTAATGAACAGGGGCTAAATAAAAAGAGAGAGAGAGAAATGGGGTTTAACGTCCCCTTAACACAAACTTGGTCATTTTGGGACTAACATATGGTTCAATTTTATGTCAATGATGGGTAGGGTTCTTTAGCTGTGGGAGGAAACTGGAGGACCCAGAGAAAACCCACAAGGCTGGAGAGGCGAACCTACTCCTTGTCACATACAATGATACAACCAGGGAAACGAGACCACGCCAGCTGACTCAATGACAGACCTTATGATACAACGCGCACATGCTTTTTTCTTTGAAATATTTTAAGGGATGTTAAAGTAGCTAAGTCTCTAACTCAATATCGTCCAAAGTCTTCCACATTGAAAACATAAATTATTTGTCAATTTAAATCAACATTGATGTTGTGATCTTACCGGGAAAGATGGGCTTCTAATATCCAATATTTTACCATTGGTACACGAATCGTGTACCATAATGTGTTTCAGCGTCATTAGTAACAAGGGACTCAAAGAACGAGGCAAGACATATTCCACAAATTATAGTCAAACGGTGACGTCATATTCTTATCTGACAAGCTTGCGAAATAAATACAATCGGTGTAGACTGGATTAACCAGACTCTAGAGATTGCCATTCGATTGAGACTTTTGACGTATTTCACCTGACATAACGGATTATAAATTATAGTAAAATCAGAAACGATTGAATGTAAATCAGTTTATATACATTCGTATTACATTATTATATGCGTTGCGACCCATTTGTGTCCATTTCTAGGTCCCAAAATTTAGCGATTTTGCTCCTTTAAGTACATGCTAACCATTCGGCCATTAAACCCCCCAAGTTATTAAATGGAAAATGTATTCTAAGCCATACAATATCACAGCGCATCCAATGGTCGAGGGAATTGATATGGGCTTGCCATGTACAGGATTTATTAACATATGCTTCCACCCAAGGCACATGTATCACAGGTCAGAGAGTTTATAATACCAACACTGTCACAGAAAAAAATAAATCTAGTTCTTACATTTTAATATTTTTCTGAAAACATCTTGGTCTAATTTATTAATTGGTTTAATAATTGATTTTATTTCACTTGGAACTCGTGCTCCATAAAATGGTGTTCTGTCAGGTGCCACACTTTTACCAGTGCCAGTCACTTGTATAATCGACATGATTGTGTCTATGTTTTATTTTGTCTGACTAAAAATAAAATCTTATTTTTGTTTTAGATCGTCAATGTTAAGAAATTCACTAAAATAAAATATAAATATTCCTCTTTTATTTGTTATCTTTCATAAGCCCAACAGCAAAACCAATATCAGTAGATCTAATCCCGTTTAGTTACTGTAAAATATACACACGAGACTTGAGTCATTGAATTCACATTAGCTTTAACATCTACATGTATCTTCAATCTTTATGACAGTCTCGGTGACAATCATCACAAAATCATTAATGATTAGGTTAGGACTAGGGGAACAGTAGGCCTATCACAATCTAAATCTGCCAGATAGATGCCGCAATTGTCGTTCTTTGAACTTTGAACTGTAAATGAGTAACCAAGAATTAATTAAATGACATCGTAATCTATATGAATAATTATGTACATTCTGTCACCCGGCAAAAACCACTTTTTCATAACTGAAAGGCACAGCCCACTTTATTTCACCGGAAGTTTACATTTTCTATCATTATTCTCTGCAGCAACTGGTGTCACGCGCTTTATATTTTCTCCTTTTTTTGTAAAGAATTTTGTTTGCTTGATAAAAATGATAGTTACTATCTAAGTTGTAAACCAGTTATTTACAGGATATGTCTTCAAATTATTGCAAAGTGTAATTGTATTTCCTTAGAGTTAGAACAATTTCAAGATGGCGGACTCCGGGCAGCTTGGCAGGTGCGTGTTGGCTATTTTCGTGATTATGCTTTACATATTTTGTGTAATGTCACGATTGTTGTCGCGTTATACATGAATGTATTCAGGTTTTCACGTTAATTAAGCATTCTAGTTTTAGGAACACAGAATAAATAAATATTTGCGTGACAATATTTATTAAAGGGAGATTACTCTTATTTGTTACGGTGATGAACAATAACGGTCCAATAATTTGGTGAAAACGGCCAAACATTTTGGTCATAAAGGCATCAAAACGGTTTATATAATATTTGTGATTAATTATCAATCCAAGGCAATGATATTTATAATTTTTTTGGGCGATCATGTTTGATCCTATTCCCTTTTCGTTTTCCATCACTTCAACAACAATGAAATGAAATATTGACTCTGTTGAGACACAAAAATGGGAGTCACATCAAACATGAATGCCTTTTTTTTAAACATCACAATGTCTACGAATGACATACCTTCTGTGAAATGGATTAAAGTATTGGATTAATAATAGAATCTTCAGAGACCATCAGAACCAAATCCAGGGGCGTAAATCTGGGAGGTGGCTCGCAAAATCAGTGCAGTCGGTCGCAAAATAAGAGCAGTCGGTATCAAAATAAGTGCTCACTGCACACGTCACGCTACTCACGCAAAACTTTAGTATAAAATAACCTTGTCAACTTATCATGTTTGAAAAAAAAATGATGTGTTTCACTCTTATTCTGTTGTGAGTATGTAGGTCTCAGAACAAAATTTCCTCCAGTCGTGGGTCAAAAGACTGTAGAATTGTTAGTTCTACTCTCACAAAACAGGTGACATTGACAGATAGGCCCGAAGATTCTGTCCCATTTCTTATCCTCTCGTTAACGAGAATTTGGATCCATTTGCCATGACATTGACTAAAATTGTCAGGCCCACTCCCAAAAATTAAAAGCTCGGTTACACATCTGAAATTTTTTCGCGCCTGCGGCGCTTGATTCCATTATAACATCATCTTCCACTCTGTTGGCTTACACTGTCTCAGCACTATCATATTCACGGTTATACTGAACTGCCTAGTTATGTTAGTAGTACCACTGGCACTGGTGTGTGGGTCGTTGGCCGTCAGACTATACAAAAGTTCTGTCAACTCTTGCAAAACAGGCGGAGATTTTGTCTAATTGACTCACATTTCTGGTCCTCTCGTCCACAAGAATTTCTCCCAGCAATGACCTCAAATGCCAAGATATTGACTCAATTTTTCAAAATTTTCTCAGGTTGCTCTGTGTTATAGGCACAATTATATAATATGACATAAACTTTATGTCAACTTAAATAAAACTGCTTTCCAGCGAGACAACGATCGGCAAACAACTATATAATTATACAATACCATCTATGTTCTACCGGGACGCTTAATGTTATAGCCAGTATTTTGTTGACATTCATTGTGGGGTGGGATTGTGGCTGGGGTGGCGCCCTAGATTTGGACCCACCCCCACCCCTATCTAGATCCGCTACTGCACATGGCCCCTAGAAAACTCGCACCTGTGGTGCTCGGCTCCTGACTGCATCACTCGTACTAGGGGTATGGGCATCAGTCGGTCGCATTTTGGCTAAACACCCCCCCAAACAAAATCGTAATGTACGCCCCTGACCAAATCAAATCTATACCACTACCACCAGATACCATTCCTAGAATTACACCCACGGTCACATACAAATTGTTACCCCCAATTCGAAATAAAATATTTAACTGTAATTTATTGACATTTACAATAATACATCTTGTCGATGCTCTGTGTGGCTAAGTGGGTGAGAAGCTGCCTCGCTAGCCTGGAGGTCGGGTGTTCGATCCCTGCATTGGCCGAGAAAGTGCATCCAGATTTTCCGGCGTGGTTCTCCCCTGTCAGTGATGCAGGACGGAGGAGCTGACAAGGAAAGCTGTCGAAAACCTAGGTCCCGTGTACACATTGGCATGCACGTAAAAGATCCCTTGACATTTGGAATTCGATATAAGAGCAGGCCGTAGTGCCGCTGTCCGGGCAAAATTTCCCTCATAGCTGTATGGCGTATGCCTGTCTTCATTAGCCCAGTTCGGAGCAAAACAGTAGGACGTTAAACCCCCTTTCATTTCATTTCATTTCGATGCTCTGTACATCATACAGGTTAATTTGAGTAGTGGTGGACAGCTGCTAAAGTCAATCTAAGTTTTCTTCTGACGTGGGGAACGGTTTGGAAATGGCAAAAGATCCATGCATTGATTCTATTTTTGTATTTTCAGAATAACAATGACAGATAGTTCTGGTAGTGTCATGAAGACTATGGTAGTATTTTCAATAGCAATGTGTATACTTCCGATATCTTCATATTTTATTACAAAAAGTTTTGTATTTGAAGGTAAGAAAGATAACGTTTCAGAATTCCCTAAGCATATTGAGATTGAGGCTAAAAACAGTCATGATGATATTGTCCGAAAAATACAAATGGTAATGATCATCACCTTTAATAATATTCAAGATTGCACAGTTAATTTTTTAAAACTAATTTTTAGCACTTGTCCTTTTGTAATGAATTTGTGTTGATAGTAATGTAGATGTGGGCCCTTAGCCCGACTCCCAATTCACTCTAGTTTATCCGGCATGGCTTCTCCTTGTCAGTGGTGCAGGACGGAGGGCCTGACAAGTACTGCTGTCTAGTCATTCAGATGGGATGAAAAACCGAGGTCCTGTGTATTAATTGGCGTGCATATAAAAGATCCCTTGGCAGTTTGAATTCAATATAAGAGTAGGTCTTAGCACTGCTGTCTGGGCAAAATGTCCCTCATAGCACACTGTATGGCAAATGCCCGTCTTCATTAGCCCATTCGGAGCAGGACGTTAAACCCCATTTCATTTCATTCTGGTTACCTCCAACTTTTAAAGATGCATACTTTCCCCCTACCAAATTATTGAAATAAATAAGTACCATGTGTTAATAATGACCTACCATAGATTGTGTGCACATTAATCCCCATTTACCCCTCTCTCTCAGGAAGTATTTCTGTATTTGCAATAACGTAAATTAATGTTTTGCCATTTTGTTCCAGGTATATTTGGTATGGGTCACCAGAATAGTTATTTTTATGCTGCAATTTCATCAATAGTGGTAGTGCATATTATACTTGGATTATTTATATATGTAGCCTGGACGGAAGATTCGAAACCTATTCCACAGTTTAAGAGAGACTAAATAAGATGTGTGTATGAGAGAATGAGTGGTTCGATGAATGTATTGTATATAATCTTGTATATTATTTTATACATGTGCTCACTATTTATAGCCTTTTTTTATGAACAATCTCTTTTCATCTTTCTTCAGTATTTTATACACAAATTGATCAAGTGTAGAAAGGGTAACAATTCTGACACTTGTCTCTGTGTTGTAGTAAACTTTAGGCAACTCTTAGGACATCAGTTTTTTTTAAACATCAGTCATTAGAACATTATGGATCTTGGGACAATGGCTTCAGTATGGTCTAGATCTAGTGTTCCATATTGGTGCATACATTATATATATAAAAAAAAATAATCTGAGTTTTAAACATGAGGTGGGGATTCAGACCTCAATATTTATTTAGTATACATACATGTACTGGTGCTAGGCTAAGGATATTAATATTTTTCTTTAAATTAATAACTTCATTAAATCTTTATGAAAAATTGACAGTGGCTATAATATGGATTTATGCATTTTCAAGGAGATTTGAGTAAATAATTTTATTTTCAATTCATCCAATCATTATAGATGGTTATGAAATGTGGACAGACATTTAGTCCCGTATGTATGACCATACACTGTTTGTCTAGGCATACCCATTGCCATTTTTATTTCTAAAATTTCCATATTATATAATACATATATTTTTATTTATAATAAACCAAGTACAAACTACTGTTTTATAGTTTATAATTTATTAAACTATACAGCTTGGTCATAAATTAATTGACAGTGCCTATTTTCTGGTAGAAATTAAAACAAAACAAAACAAAACATCTAAAACGGGCCCTAGTTTTGTGTCGTCCCTTATTAAAACTTACTATCCAATGTTTTAAAAAATTCAATACTCAGACAGTTAACTCGATATTCTTCCAACCTGGGATACTGATCTTCATCTCTAGAATATATAGCGAGTCTATGTCAAGAATCAGCTAGTTTTACTTTAGAATGTCCGACGCCCTCTCTGCACCCTGTTTATAGAGCCACTTTGAAATGTGGTCGTATATTGTCGTCGCCCCGCCCGCCCGGCGGCCACAGAGGCTAAAGTTAATATCCGATTTTCTATACAGTTACACCGGACGAAAAAGCCTATTGATTAGAGACTTTTGGCAAGCGGAATTTTTCCATCCGTATCACGTATCCGTATCGTATATCCGTATCGTATACGTGATACGTTGTGTCAATGTAGTTTTAGAGTTTTGGCAGATTTTCGCGTCGCATACATGTGCGTCGATCAGCTGAGCCTAGTTCTATTACAGCATGATGGCAGATATCTACCAAGATCACCATCAGTACTAGTCAAGTGCCTATTAGAGCTGGGCTATTAAAAAAAAAATAATGTCGAATCTTATTTAAAATCTTCGATTTCGACTCGACTGCAATTGTTGGTTTCACTTAATGTATCATTTCAGAAAGTTTATACCTCTTTACCAGATTTGCAAGGTTCCGCCTCCCTAAATCACATCAAATATACAACTTCGTGTTCTAGAATACACAAAGATTCATGAAAACGCTACTATACAACATTTCCGCGTCTAAAAGTAGCCAAAAAGACGGTAAAAGGACACGACAATGTTATCCGGACCTTTTCCGTATGAAAGCTGTTCAAAACGTGCTGCCGTATCACGTATGAGAAATACACGCACATTAATGGCGTCACACGCAAATCCATACAGATACGCGATACGGACCAGAAATTTACGCTTGCCAAAAGTCTCTATTTTCAACGATGCCAGACGTATGGGTCATTGATTACTTTGAAAAGCTCGTGGACGGCCTAGTTGTCATTTTGTCAGACCTTCAAATGTTCGGATTATTAGAGACTTTTGGTAAGCGTAAATTCTTGGTCCGTATCGCGTATCCGTATGGATTTTGCGTGTGACGTCACCAATGTGTGTGTATTTCTCATACGTGATACGGGACACGGATACGGCAGCACGTATCGAACAGCTTTCATACGGAAAAGGTCCGTATAACATTGTCGTCTTTTTACTGTCTTTTTTTGCTACTTTTATACGCTGAAATGTTGTATCATAGCGTTTTTATGAATCTCTGTGTATCCTAGAACACGAAGGTGTATATTTGATGTGATTTAACCATGATAAAGACTGGAATTTAATCATTATTTTTGATGGGGGTTTTCTCGGGATTTTCATACTTTTCTGCATGCTGGTTGATCTACGGGCTAAATTTAGGGGGGTGGGACCTTACAAATTTAAACTTTCTGAAATGATACATAAGTGAAACCAAAGTCGACATTAATTATTTTTAATATCGAGCGACTTCACTCCCACCGAGAAATTGTAGGCTAGGCACTTGACTAGTACTGATGGTGATCTTGGTAGATATCTGCCATCATGCTGTAATAGAACTAAGTTGAACTCAGCTACTCATACGTACGCGACGCAAAAATCTGCCAAAACTCTAAAACTACTTTGACGCAATGTATCACGTATACGATACGGATACGTGATACGGATGGTAAAAATTCCGCTTGCCAAAAGTCTCTACTATCACGATTCGTGCTGCGATTGAGGTCGTGGTTTTAATCATGGTGATCCTATCAGGACTTATCATATACTGAGGTCAGTCGTAGCAATCATGTTGATCGTATCGAAACGTATCCGAACGTATCTGCACGTACCAGATGGTGGACTCAATAGGGAGAACCCTATCGTCATAGGCGTACGTTCTCGATGACAGTTAGGGGGGCAGAACCCGAAATGTCCGAAAACATTTCGGGTTTACAGACAGCGGCGTCGAGAGCTTACCTTGCATGGCACCCCCCCCCCCCCCCCCCCCAAAGAAAATTTTGGAATATTTGACGGCTGCAAACACGTTTTCCTGCTATTTCAGTCCTTGAACAAAGTGGTCTATTATAGTCTAATTAAGATGGCTGACTCGAATTCCAATCAAAAGATCAATCGTTTACAGTCCACGAAGACGGGGCCGTTAGCAGAAAATTTTGAAAATTTAACAGCCGCAAACGCGTTTTCCTGCTATTCCATCCTCTGAATACAGCAACTTCAATTTGGTCCAATATAGCCCACCTGGCTGAACCGAATTCCAACCAACCAATCAATCGTCGCGGAGAATGGAGGCCTCACCCTCCCGGAGAAAATTTTGAAAATTTAACCACCGCATATGCGTTTTCTGCTATTCTAGCCCGTGTAAGCAACTCCAACAGTATCCAATGGTTTTGTAACCTAAATCCCATTTTGAATTCCAACCATTCAATCAGACTGTTGCAGCTGCATTCACAAATAATAATCGATGCCCGAAAAATGTCGCACAAAGTAGAGTGGCTACAGACAAAATGTTTTAATCCATAGTCAACTCAGTACAAATTCGTGGTATTCAATTAAAAGATAAGTAAAATTAGTGTTTTATTAGGGCTCGGTGACAGGGAAGCAAAACTAGAAATGCCCGAAAAAATTTCAGGTTTACAGACATCGGCGCCGGTTTTCTTCGAAAGGCGAAGAAGCGGAGATGACCTTGTAATGACCCCCCCCCCCCCCAAGAAAAATTTTGGAATATTTGACGGCCGCAAACGCGTTTTACTGCTATTCCAGCCCGTAAAATTAATGTTTTATTAGATTTCAGGCACTTTATTTTGCCAAGTAGATGAAATAAATTTTTTTTTTCACTTTACCCGTCTGCCCGAAAAGTCAGCTTGCCCTGCCCCCCCCCCCCGGCTCGTACGCCTATGCCTATCGTAACACATTGCACGACAGTGGGAACCTAGCTTAAGGTGTGCAAGTGATGGATATCGTTGGAATATCTTCAACACCCCCATAATCTTTAATATAAAATCTCAAAGATTTCACTGAAGCAGCTGTATCTTTATTTTTGTAAGTTATTTTTCCAAATTTGTAGAAGAATGGGAGTTGATAAGCATACGACGTTAGAATAAACAGGTTTTTCAACACTCGGCAGATTCCGTTACTCTACATCTAGCCTCGGCTGATATAATAACGTTAAGTGATATGTACCTGCGCCTATACAATTGCTTAGAAAAACTTGCCGCCTTTAAAAAGAAGTTATCAAAATTGCGTCGTTCGATGCGTGTGTAGATTTTTCAGTGCCAAGTTGTCCTTGTTTGAAGAAAATCGGATAAACTTGAAAGAAAAACAGCCTCAGACTTTGAAATATTTGTACAGTACGATAAAACATTCTTCAAAGGCAACGTTGTTGATAATCCGGGAACTTGAAAGTAGTTCAAATGGCGGATTTCGTTATACAGCCGAGGCTATTAAGGTCCTGGAATCTGCTGAGGTTTGCCGAGTGGTTTTTCAAACCATCCTGTCCTTGGAAGTAACGGAACGTAACTCGATATCTGAACTAACGCCTCTACTGTGATTGCTCGATTTCCTCTCTGAATCACAATGATCACACTGAGAACTAGAACAATCTTCAGAACAACCTGAGGCACCACTTATACCAACTCGGCGTTTAAACAACCTAGCTTTCATGTCATTAAATCGTCGCAGTCTCTTCTTGGCAATTTCTCTGTAAATTAAGAATGTTAGTCCACCGACCAATGCAGTTAAAACCACAACACTGAGGAAAATGAGAATATAATTAACTGTGGTATAATAGGGCCTTGTCTCCATTACCCAGACCTGAAAATACAATAAAAATAATAAACGATAAATTATCGATATATTGATTGATTTTAACTTCTTTATTATAGATAATGAGATGTAATAAAACCAAAATATTGCGTTCTTTGTTACATGCAACCCAAACGGAAATAGGCTATCATATTTTCTGTATTATGAATATAATTATCTGAAATTTTCATGGAGTAGAGATTAAAATCATACAGATCAAAATGGGGTTTAACGTCCTACTGTTCTGCTC